GGGGGGGGGGGGGGTTGCTGCGTGAGGCTTGCAGCGTGGCACAGAAAGCCAGGAGGTTCCCCGTCTCTCTCTAGTGTCAGGAGCTTCATCTCCACGGAAGGGATCTCCATCAGGAACGCCAAGGAGTTCCTGGTGCGGCAGACCCACTCCATGAAGAAGAGGCACACGGCGCTGCGAGCTGCCAAGCAGCAGTGGCACCAGGACATGCAGAAAGCCCAGGAGGCGGCGCAGGATCCCGACAGCTCCCAGCTCCTGGACGGTGTGCGCAAGAACCTGGAAGAGGTGAGGCCCCGAGCGCTGCCTGCGTTCAGGCCTGGGGTGTCGCGGCCGTGAGCTGCCCAGGGGTCGGCTCCTGGCTGTGGAGCAGCAGCCGCAGGCAGCTGCGGGGCTTCGGGCCTCCACGCCGGGGTGGTTCCAGGTCTGCTCCGCTACGGTGCAGCCAGCCCTCGGTAGCTCGCTGGATTGCAGGAACCTGATGGACACTTGGGGCTCTTGGGATCTTAAAAAGGGAGGAGGGATTTGGCCGAGGAGAAAGGGATTCGTGCGTCCCGCAAATCCCAGAACGTTTTCTCGTAGGAGAGGAGGTGGCAGGTATCCATCCCATCGGGAGGTGTGAGGTTATTTTTTCCCTCTCGCTTGGGAAGGGGTCCTCGAGTCCTCCTCAGCCCTGCTGACACGCCAGCCGGGGCAGGGCCGGGCAGCCTTCCCTTCCCTGACCGCGGCAAGCGCTCGTCTTGGCAGAGCCAAAGCTGCTGACCCTGTTGGACGCAGGGTCTGGACGTGAAACCTCCTTTTCCCCGGGGTGAACTCTCTTTGCGGCTCGTGCTCTGCCCTCTCCACACTCCCCTTTCTGTGCTCTCAGAGACCCGGGAGCAATTTCCCTCCTGCGGCCTGATATCCCGTGCTGAGTAGAAGTGGGATAATGAAAGTCGCCCTAACCACCACCGTCGAATATTTCCTGTCATTCCTGTTTAATTTTCCTCCTTGGCTTGGCTGGTTTTGCAGGAAGCAAAGCAGCTGGACAGGATGAAGTCAGCTATGTGCAAAGGGCAGGCGCTGCTCAAGAAGAAAGAGGAGAAGCTGAGCCAGCTGGAGTCCTCGCTGCTGGAGGAGGTAACGGCCAGTGCCACCAGCACTGCGCTCACCCTGCCCACAGCTCGTGGCCCCTGCCCTGGGCCGGAGCCTCTGCGGGGCCTTTGGTGCCCACGAGGGCTGTTTAGCTGGTGGCCAAAGACATGTTTCCCGGCGCAGTGGGTTTTAGAAACACGTTTTCTGAGAGCAGAACAGTGTCGGTCTGAGAACGGGGGGGGGAAGGCTAGTCACAGGTGGAGAGAGAGGAGGACAAACCTCACGGGCCTGGGGTTCACTGGGGCATGGAGCCTCCCTCCGCGGCGGCAGCTTGTCAGGCACGGACGGGCTTGGGTGGGGGAATGCTGCGGAGTGCCCGGGCTTGGCAGAACCTTGCTAGCGCAGAGACGGAGTGCTGTGGGCGCGATAGGCTGAAGTACCCCACAGTATAACCCAAAACCTCGCAGCAGAGTGGGTAGGTGGCTCATTAACGGTCTGTGTCTTGCTCAAGATGGCAAATACTCTGCCTCCCCTCTGCTCGGGACTCCGGGGTCACTGTTAGGCGGGTGGCTGCCGAAAGCAGCCGGGAAAAGCCGCACGGTTTGAGCCTAGAGAAGACAAGGGCGGGTGGCCTCGTGTGAGCAAGGATGAGCCTGGTTTCCTGACCCAGGCCAGCCCTGGAACCCATGCAGCTCTGCCTGGGACCACGTGGCCTTAGGCAGGTGCAAGAGCACGAGACCTCTGACAGCCAAGCCCTTGTCCTTGGTGCGAAGAGAGAACCCAGCCCACGCAAGAGTTCTGAGGCTTATTTAAAGGACAAAATACTTCAACTCCTGCCTAGAGCAGCCTGTGCGTGTGGCTGTTAGATCTGGCCTCTAGTGCATGCACGTGCTTCCTCCAGAGACCAAGCAGCCTCTCCACTTCCAGGCTTTGCTGTGGGGCCCTGGGGGTGGCCGTGCCTTGGGCGCTCCGGCCCGCGCAGAGCAGCCGTCGGCTGTTCCTCTGGCTTCGGAGGCAGAGCAGCAGGTTTCATTTGTGTTGTCTTCCCTCTTTTGACCAGCTTTCGGATGAAGATACTCTGAAGAGTACTGCATGTAAGAAGACGGTGACTTTTGACCTCAGCAGCTCTGAGGACACGAACAGCATGTCCAGTGTAAATCTGCACCAGCCCAGCTGTAAGTGCCGGCCGGGCCCGGTGCGCTGTGCCGGGGCTAACGCCTCAGCCCTCCTCCTGGCCTCCCCTCCCGCCCCTCCTGTTCTCACCTGGGCTCCTGGGTGTCCGAGGCAGCTCTGCTACCCAGGACTGGCACTGCTCCCTGCATAACATCCGATTTGAAAAACTTACTGCCTGCTTGCAGTGGCAGCTGAGGGCTGGAATCTGCGAGTGAACTCGCCTTTAAAATCTCTACCGTTGTTTTGAGAGTGGAATGTGAAGTCTGGCCTCAGCTCTTCCCTCTCTGCTGTATTGCTCCCCTGCAAGTGCCTGGGCTTCCTTCTCCTCACATCTCTGGCAGGAGAGGCTGCTGCCCTTCCCCGTGCTTTTTCCTTTGCCTTCAGCTGCCCGTAACCGGGGCTGTGCCGGTGGGAAGAAGGGCTTCCCACAGACAGCCGGGAGGCAGGAGCCTTGCCTTGCTTGCAGGAAGGCTGGCAAGGCTCGAGCTGACAGAAAACCAAGAAAGCTTCCCTGTGGCACCAGACGGACAAGCTGTCCAGTCTGGGGTGGTCTCTCTGACCCTGATCAGTAAAAATTCTGCGGGCACACGTGAAACCAGGGTTTTCTCTCGCCATAAGATGGGAGCCCGTGTATCAGCACGGTCCTGTTGGTCCGACACCGGCCAGGCCCGTGGCCTCGGGAGCTTTGCTGCTTAGGAGCATGGGAAGGGCACCAGGCGTCCTGCTGCAGTGGGACCTTTGGGGTGAAGCCTGATTTCCTGGGGGGTCTCGGCGGGAGGGGGGGCAGCTCTTGGTAGGGGCTTTCCATTCGCGGGGGATTCTGTCAGGCTGGCGGCTGTAGGGCGCAGGGCACAGCAGAACCCAGAGGGCTGGAGCTGTACCCGATGTGATCCGCTGGGCCCCTTCTTGCAGCACTGGAGGATCTTGTCCCCCGCTTTGTGCCCCAGCAGCCTCAAGGCACAAATCCCCGGTGTCAGTCTGTGTCTCCTCGGGCTGCCGGGGCGGGTGTTTGCCTCTGCATCCCACTTCGCACGGATCAGTCGGGCTCAGCTCGGAGCGTAACCCAGAGAGGAAAGCGGGTCTCCTGCCGGCGAGGCAGCGTCTCCCCGGCCCTCCCACTGATCCCTTCTTCTCCTCTCTCCCACCAGTCGATTTAAGAACCAATTTACAGCCTGCCCTCCCGCTGAACAAGATTCAGTGCTTGACAAAATCTGTTCAGCACATCTCGAAGGAGCTCAACGGGGTCATCGACGTCCTGGGCTCACTGAACAACTGCCAGTCTCCACTCTTAACCTCAATGCCCTGCGACAGCATCCCTCTCTCGACGTACACCTCCTTGGCAGGACTGGAGGCTGGGGGGTCCTTGAGGGCCCCTGCCGGGCTGTCTCTGGTGGACCAGAGGCCCTGGAGCACTGGACTGAGCTCTGGGCACTCTTCTGCAGCAGGACAGTCAGGTGAAAGCATCCTGGCCGAGAAATATCACAGGTATTTCCCAGGTAAGTCCTGTCCTTAATCCATCTCCTTGCTTGCCTGCAGCTTCGCATTTCCCAGCCCTGCACGTTCTAACCGTCTCGCCCTCCCAGTGCTGCTACGGCCAGATCCACTGGTGCGGCTGATAGCAAGGGTGCTAATGAGATGAGGGATGAGAACCTCATTCCAGGACACGCAGCGTCTGGCTGATCTTGTCATCCTGCTTCGGGAGCTGTTCAGCCTTTAATATGCACCCCAGAAAGCAGTTGTTACTAAAGGAGGGAGCAAAAGAGCTTCACTGGAAGCCTCCCGTGAACTGCAGCGAGGGTTCACCACCTCCGTGCCCTTAACACCCCCGTGCCCTTGGCAGGTGGCTGAGCTTGTCGGGACAGTGTGTCTGTCGTGCAGGCAGGCAAATGCGCCCGGACGTACAGACTTGATTGATTTAGGGGTGCCTGTGTTTAACATCTGTTTTGCAGGGGGGTTGCCGTCGCTCAGTTCCAAGCCTCCAGAGAACAAGCTGGGATACGTTTCTGCAGAGTAAGTGTCTTGTTCCTTGAGCTGTCATGTCACTGCGCTGCTTTTATTTCGCTGCGGTGATCTACGGGTCGCGTATCGTAGAACAAGTAGATAACAAAATCGTAAGCTACCTGCCAAGCAGGTGGGTTGGATACAGTTAGTTGTTCCGTGCCACGTGCTCGGTGGTTCCTCGCAGCCACGTCACGGCTCTGCTGATAACCCTGGCCCCAGGACCGGGCTCTGGGGTGCTGGGGAAGGGGGCGGCAGCCTGGGAGCGGCCGGCTGCTCCAGCTTTTCTCCGCGCTGGGGCTGAGCAGAGGATGCTGAGGTCACGTTTCCTGAACTGTGGCTCTTGCTGCAGCAGCCCATCGCTTTCCCAGCTCTGGGGTCATTTTCTGCCCAGACCAGGCCTCTTTTTCTCACTTGTGCTGTCTCTTTCTCTCTCGTGTGTGACAGGGAGCAAATACGGCTGTTCCAGCGCTCCCGGTCCCAGAGGTGGGAGTCAGACAAGACAAGTATTCAAGACATGATTGAGACCAGCAAGAAATGGCTAGAGGACTTCAAGAGGGATTCAAAAGTGTATCCTTTGCCTGGCTCTGCTCTTTAATTGCACTCCAGCCTCCTGCAGCAGGAAGGTGGAGACAGCAGGAGGTGAGCGAATTGGGAGCACTAAAGCACTGAACAGCAATTTTGAAGCCTTAGCCTCTATTTTAGTGTCTGGTTCTGCAAAGGAATACGGTGTTTAGCAGTTAGAGCATGAGTGACCTGTTTGCTCTTCTCTGAGCTGCACTTGACTGAAAAGGTCTCTTCCCTTTCCCCGGTTGCGCTGTGAAGCTGTTCAGTGCTGCTACTCAGCCGTCGGAGCTGGTAGCGTGAGAGTTGACAAAACTGAGGCAAAGAGTGCGGAATGGGGGGGGGCAGAGGGCAGGCGGGCTTTGGGTGTCACGGCTCGAGCCCCGGCCGCAGCGGGGTCCCGATGGCGGGCGGTGCCTGGAGCAGCCCGAGGTGCGCGAGCGGCGGGTCCGCAGCCAGGGTGCTGGGGACATGGGGACCCGGCACGTGGGGCGGCCGCGT